CCGCGGAACTCCGCGGCGGGGCGCCCCGGAGGAGGACTCCCGCGCCGCAGTGCGCGAGCCGACGCCCGCACGGCCGCTAGGTGACCCCGACCCCGAATCCGGACTGGACTGGCGCTTGGGGATGTTGCTGCAGCTAACCTTGCGGAGCCCGAGGAAGGACTGCAGGGCGAGGCGAAGCGAGTGCCTCTAAGAAAGCGTGCGCTTCCCCTTGGAGATCCTTGCTGGAGCATTGAACCGCTGAGATCCTGAACAACGACACAGAGACCCGCAAGCACTTGCCGTGGGGATGCCGCCCTGATGTTGATTAAAAAAAAAAAAAGTTTAGGACGACCTGCCTTTTTAAGCCCACTGTCTTAAAAACTGCTTAAAAGTCCTCTTGCATTGGAATTTTACTGCAAAGTGCCATACTAGGAACTATGGTCAAAATGACTCAGGTCATCATAGGTGACTGAGACCTTATGGAAAACCAGTCCTTGTTCTATTTTTTTTTGTTTTACTAGGAAAGGAACCCAAGGGTTCACGCATGTTAGGCAAGCACTTCACCACTGAGCTACATCCCCAGCCATTATTTATTTATGTTTGGTGGTGCTGGGGATTGAACCCAGGACCTTGTGCATGTGAGGCAAGCACTCTACCAACTGAGCTATATCCCCAGCCCCTCATTCTTTATTTAAATTTAAAAAATTTACAGGTTGCTCACCTTAATTGAACCCAGTTAAGTTGCCACAGAATAATACAGCACTCCTTGTCCTCCTTTAGTCTGCCCCAGACAAATGATGGCCCTTATACCTGAAGCAAATGAAATTACAGCAACAGCCAGTTTGTTTAAAAATTTCTTGAGTTTTATGCACCTCTAAAAATCATACTTTGATAATAAGCATATTGTAAATATTTTACTAACAATAACAATAAAGTCGTTGTCTGATTGTGTGTTGATTAACTATAGTCCTGCTTAGTCTTTGAGGGTATTTAAAAACATTCAGTAATTATGGAATTAAATTTTTAAATGATAGATATTTAAAAGTTATCAGGTTCACTCTCTTCTAACCCAGCCTTTAGTATTAATTCTTCAGATTTTGCAACCTTTAGGGAGTGTGGGCTTATGTGGTGGAAGTTTTCTCTGGTTTGAACTTTCCTGAAACGTCTGATTTTCATGTTGACTTTTAGAGATAAACAATAAAAATCTGGCGGATAGACTTGACAGCTCCTTCCCCCCATTCTTTTCAATTCTTCCACATGTAGTTCTCATCCCTTGGTCCTTGCTTCGTGCCTTTTTTTTTTTTTTTTATTTTAAATTTTCCCTGACCACTCATCCTTCTTGCCCTTTGGGATGTAGCATCCAGAAGTGAATAGGTTCCTGTGGAAGTGGTTGGACGATTACCAAGTTCCAAGTTACCTTCTTTGTTTTGGAACCTGCTGTAGATGAATTATCTGGCAGGCTTAGTTTTTTTTGGCATATTGCTTTGCTGACTCACAGTAATCTTGCCACCATTATCTAGAACCTTTTTCACTTAACTGTTTTGAAGAATAGTGCAGATAATTGCTTGACCTGAAGTATAGGAATTTTCACTTACCTTCTAAAATTTTCTGTTATTTATTTGGTTCCAGGTTCAAGGCTGACAAGCTTTTAACCAGTATATTAACAATTTGTGCCATCTATCAAAGGGAGTTTTGATAAGAATTCCCTTTAACTTCCTTCAGATTGTAAATATTGACCAGGGTGGGGCTAATTTCAGTGCTGTGAGGCATACCTCTGGCTCTTCTCTCTAGGATTGGTATATACATTGATACAGTCAATCAGTGATTGTTTCATCTTACTGTCTGTAATTCATGACCCACTGCATCTCTGCTCTCCCCTAGTTAAGTGAGAAGTTGTATAGAGATATTGACTATATACTTTTGTCACAGTAGGATTGTGATTGAGTATACTGAAATGTGTAAAGTAAAAGATGACTCACTACACATCCTTCATAACCATGGCTATAATTCATATTTTTAAAATGGAAGATATTCCCACAGTTTATTATGTTTACAAATATGTATTCTATGTTTTTCCAGTCTTGGGGAAAAAATCAGAGGGACAAAGCTCAAAGAAATCTTCACAAAGAGAGAAATAGCAAAATAATGGCAACAATCGGAAGTGAAGTAGGAAGTTGCTTGGCTAGTTAGTGGGATTAAGGGATTCAGAAAATTATAAGCTACAGAGAAAACACCTAGATTCAAATGACATTAAAAAGTGAAGGAAGGAAAGGAAAAGGGGGTCTAGATTTGTTTGAGCTGTTCTCATTGAGCTCTTCCAATGGCAAAATAATAGCACTATCTGTTGATCTCAGACTGTGTGTCAGATCCACTATATACATATTCCCTCACATTCCATGAAGGAAGGTACTGTTGTCAACATATTAAAGGTGAGGGCCTAAGAAAATTGAAGCTAAATATCAGCATAGAGGTAGAGTAAGAATTTGAACCCAAAAGTTCACTCGGATTGCTCAGAATACTATGATGCCATCAAAGATGTTAGCTTACATAACATTTGAAAATGTATGCACAAGTTGGTGGTTCTGTGTTCTTGGGCTTGGAGGAAATACTGTAAGGATCCATTTGAATTGCAGTGTTGTGATGTTGTAGCTGGTTAAAAAGACGGCCATGTGCACAGCCTCGTTATATCCACATAGGTCTCTTTTTTTTTTTTTTTTTAACCTTGTTGCTAGTTAAGCTGGCTTTTTTTCCCCCTCCCAGACGCAAGATTCCACCTTGGCCTGCCTTTTCCAGCAATTTGCATGGAGATGAAAGTGCTGCTGATTTTACATTTTTTTTGTCACCCCATTTAAGAATGAGTCCTAGTGATACATCATTTAATTTCTAAGTTCTTTAAGACCCCACTTTGACTTTGTCACCTTTGCTGTGTTTGCCCCTCCTGATCTCTGTCCTCTTTATGCTCTGTGTGATCCTCAGCATTTCAGTCATTTGTATGAAATGTTGCTCACATTTCCATGTGCATTTACCTGGTGGTTCTCTGAGACTTTTTAGGGAAGGGACTGTGCTGTATTCTGGAGTCCAGACACCCAGGACCCAGAAGTTTGGTGCTTCTATTAGATCTACCCTATGGTGCTGTGAGGGGGGAATTATTTATAGCCCGCTTTTAGGATGAGAAAATTGAAATTTCTCAGTGGTAAAACTGTTTTATTCTAAGTCATAAGGCAAAAAAAGTATAGTCGTGACTTGACATCCAACATACTTGCCAGGAGGGTGGGCAGGCCTGGAAAGGGGGAAGAAAACACCAGTGTGTGCAGGAGCAGTGCTTTCCAGCAGTGCAAATTGGATATTGACTTCTGGCTTGTCTGCAGTTGACCACTGGGTAAACCCTAGCCTGGGAACCTGGCCCAACGCCAGGGTCCCTTTCAGCTAAAAATAGAGGACTCTGCCTCAGCTAATTTTAGCTCAAGGCCTCTAAGAAGTACATTCAGCCTGCTTCCGGAGGGGTTGGGACTTGCTGGTTTGGGGATTTTACCTTTCTTGCTTTATCATCAAAAACTGTGCAAAAAAGCACTTTAATAATAATCCCTTTTATGAGCACCATTTCATTGTGTAATAACTCTGGCAGATGGTTCCATTTTATGGACAGTGACTCAGGTTTAGAGAGACTGAAAGTAGCTTGCTTGCTCAGGTGTTCTCAGTAAGATGTGGTAGTCTGTACTCGATCACATAGCCTCCGCTGTCAGCTCTGGCCCTGCCACAGAGTAGCTATATTGCTTAACCATTCTGAGCTGCACTGCTCATCTAAAACATGGGTTAAAGGAAGTTGGTTCACAGGACTCTTAGGAGGATAATATGTGACATGAGATTGTGTCGTTTTATGCTTGGTGTCCTATAGGTACATGATGACTGTAGTTTTACTTCCCTTTCTTCATGGGTTGAGGAACTACTTGATGTAGTCCTTACCTTCTAGGAAATTAAATAAAACCTGCAGGTTGGTAGACTGTTATGTAGTAGAAAGAATGGATGTTAAGACAACTGACTCAGCGTTGAATATTTTGTTGGGAGAATGCAGCTGCTTCTAGGTGAGTCATCTTAGATTGTGTCCCTGGTACAAATGCTTGAACTCCTCCAAGGTGGGAATGGCATCTTAATTGATAGTGGTAGCACAGTAACTTTTCTCAGGATTGATTTTGGAGCTTTTGTGAAGGAAGTTGGTTTTTGGGTAATTAATTACAACACTTTTTCTTAAAATTTTAATTTAATTTTTTACATAAATGGAATTATTTCTCTGGTTGTACATGATGTTGTAATTACAACACTTTCCATTGTTCATTTGTTGCTTTTTGACCAACTCTTAAGCCATCTGGATAGCTCTGCTTTCTAAAAGTTCATTTGGAAGCAGAGGTAGTTAGAAGACTTTGAACAAAAATGACTGATTCACAATGCTGGCCCTAGGAAAGTCTTATTTCAGGGAAAAAAGTCACTTTCTCATCTTTCTTTCTACTAAGGCTCTACTTTAGGAAAGACAAACAGCTGTGAGACATTCCTTAGGGAGTTTATTGAGGACTAAAAATATTGTTTTTTCTTTGTTTCCTGTACTAAGTGTAAAAAAGGTAACAGCTAACACCTAGAATTCCTAACGTGAACTTCAAATCTCTAGAAGTTTTATAAAGTCAGATGGCCCAGTAATGTGGCATTAGATAGACTTCCAGGTTAAAATGGTTTCTCTGAATTCACAGGGTATTGAAGATCTGGGGGCACTTGTGTCAAGCAGATGTCAGTCTTTACAACTGTGAGCCAATTTATGTTTGAATTTCCTGTAGCCATATTAAACTCCAGTTTACAAAAAGCTTATTAAAAATGCATACTTCTTTTCCTCTCTTTTCGTGATACTGGGGATTTATGGGGATTGATCCCAAGGGCATTCTACTGGCAGAGCTACATCCCCAGCCCTTTTTATTTTTAGACAGGGTCTCATTAAGTTGCTGAGGCTGGCCTCAAATTTGGACTCCTGCCTCAGCCTCTCAAGTCACTGGGATTAAAGGGCTGTGCCACTCTGCCAGGCAAAAATGCATGTTTCTGAGGGTAACTTCTCACCTTGGAAACATGGATTTTGAAAAAGCACTGGATAGCTTTGGTGGTAGATATTTTACATAATTTCTCTTGGGGTGAAAATAAGGCTGGGAAGATTTTTCTTTGTGTTTAGACTCTTAGGAGCTTTTAGATTTTAAAATCAGTGGTAGGTGAAAACTGTCCTTCGTCATTTCACTACAGCTGATGTAATTGACTTGTGACGGTGTTCCACAAACTTCATTGCATATCAAAATCATTAAGAGAACATATTAACATTTCAGATATACCAGAGCTGAGAAGAGGGGAACCTGAGAATTTACATTTTTGGCAGATTTCCAGGTGATAGCTGGTGCCCCAGGTCCCCACTTTGAGAATGATTGGTTAGTAGTAGGGACCATATTAATTGTGAAGCTCTAGCTTCCCTTTGGGCAGGTGAAATCGGCAAGACAGCACGTGGAGAGTGGCTCTAACTGTAAGAAAAGCAGATTGACACCTTCTACCTCCACTCTTTTTTT